CTTAATAGTTGGCGTTGTGTGCGTATTTACATCTAACAAACTACTATTTTTTAGCTATTATAATATTATATTTTAATTAAATAGTTAAATTCCCCTTATTTATACTAGTTTTAAGTTAGTTATTAATTATACGCCAGACAGCTAAAGCCTACTAAGAGATTTAGCGCTCAGATACTAGTAGCTACTAACCAGTTACCCAGCTAGTAGCTGCCTACTTCTAAGGTATTCCTTTAAAGCCTAATATACTTAACTTTTAAAGCTAATTCTTATTTTAAAGTTATAAATTTATTTTATTAACTTCCCTTATTTATATTATTCTATTAACTAAAAGCTATTTACCTTAAAAACCTACTATAATTATAAGTATAACCTAGCATAAAAATTATTCTCTCCTGCGGATTTTTAAGGGACGTCAGGAGCACACCAAACCCGGTAAAAGTGCCGGGCTCTTCCAGCCATTAAACCCTAGCTCCAGATAAACCGATTTCAGGGTGACAGCTACCAGACTTGACATGTAGGATTCTCCCAACCAACCGGTTTTCGTTTTCTTTTGCCTGCCCCCTCCATCAAGATCTCCCCTGAATTAAAGCTATTCAATTCGAAGTTTTTCCTTTGTGCAGTATATGCTGACAATGTGAATCTGCCAAACTTTGCAGAGTGACGTCTTCCCAGACAGACATGTGATTTCCCATTAGCCGTGCCCATGCTGCAGCGGACGAACTGAGCAGCATGGCTGAAAGTCTGTGTTGCGACTCTCAGGTCTCTGATATGCTCAGAGCCTTTACAGTCTGCTGCGAGGTTTCGGGCTCACCCAGAAGAACCTCGATTGCTCTGAGCGACGCCACTAATGTGAAAAGAGCCGTGCCGATTAAGGTGACCATATCGCTAACGAACAGAAAATTTTGGCCATACTGAATCGCTAACCACCCTTGCTGCATATTATCTTGCACTTTCATGGCACTAGGGACGTAATATTCTTGGAGTGTGTGTTGGAAAGGGATCTAAGAACCGTTTCAAATGATGGATAAATGAAAGACGAGTCTACGCAGAGAGCAGGTCATCAAGGACCCGAGGCATGAGTTCAAACTGGGTTCGGGCTTGCGGGGTAGTATTTGGGTTGAGGTATTGATTGTTCATAGATTGCCCAGTGCGTCACAACCCGGTCGAAAATCACAGGGCGAGCAGTAGAAATGATGAGCGGCAACATTTGGGGGGGTTTACAGAAACAAAGGGCAGTGAAGGCCCTCTTGTCATAACGCCAGCCACGAGGTTGGTGATTTTCCTGTTGGAGCTTGCATGTTTGCCATGGGTTTGTCCCCGCTGTTGAGCATATTTGAATGTATCAAAAGGGTTATTGGTTGATTGTGAAACGTTTGAAGCATTTGACACTACAAGGCATGAACATGTCTAGTACTGCATGACACCTGTCCCAGGCGCCGCAAGACTCAAAGAATGATGCTGTGACAAGAATATTGAACATGGAACGAACATGGAGGCACCAAGAGCCAGGTGCCCAAAAATCAAGCCATTTCGCGCTCGAGAATCCACTGCGTTTGCCATTCATATTTTTTGGCTTGTTGCTCTCTTGAACAGCACAGGTCATTTGACCACCCATTATTTTAAACTCTTTGTGTTCAAAGGTGACTGCTCTCTTTTTTCTTGGGAGAGGGGGGCATAAAAAGGCGCCTTTCTACTGTGCCTACCATTGACGTCTTTCATCTCCTGCAGTGTTAAATCGACGACTCCTCTGCCTCCGCCCGCCAACCGTATTTTCTCGACAAGCTTCACTTCTCAGGCTATAGCACAAAACAACAAGTTCCTTGACCAGAGTATGTAGACCTTTTCAGAAACCCTCGGCGGAACATGGGTCATGACTAATAAGGACAAGGCTAGATACCACAGGAAATTCACCGACATGGAGGCAAGAAACCGCGAGGCCAGGAACCGCCGCAGGCGTGCACTAAGATGGACGGCTAGAGAGACGGCAGCTGCCACGGAGGACCTCCAGTGGATCTTGGGAAGAGAGACCGATCTTGGCCGGTCGCGAAAATATGACGATGATATATTTCATCTATATCCCCTTGATCCTCCCGCCTTCCGCCGCCACGGCACCATAATCCGGGTCTACAACATGGACACGCTCGACGCCGCCGCCGAACTGCGGAGGCAGGCTATGGCAGATCCGCGGTGGCGGCGAAACCGCCGACCCGCCGTCCTCAACTTTGCCAATGCCGACCAGCCCGGCGGAGGTTGGTGGAACGGCGCGGTAGCCCAAGAGGAGGCCATGTGCTACCGCTCGACGCTAGCGTATAGCCTCCATCCACGGCACTACCCGTTGGACTCCCTCCAAGGGATATACTCTTCGCGCGTCGCCGTCCTGCGCGACAGCATGAGCTCTGGCCACGCGTGGATCACCAACAGAAGGTTGCTGAGCCCCGACACGGTTCGGGAATTACTACCCTGGTATAGCGCCCTGACCGTTGCAGCAATCTACAAGCCCCGAACGCAATCCGTGAGCATAGGCTGGTTGCGGCGACAGACCAGAGTCTTTGCCCGTAACGCGGACCGGCAACTGACCAAGGACAAGATGAGGCTCGCATTGCATATGGCGGCCACGTATGGCCACGACATGCTCGTCCTTGGTGCCTTTGGCTGCGGCGTCTACGAGAACCCTCCCTGGGATGTTGCTCAATGTTGGCTCGAGGTGCTGAGGGAACGTGAATATGCGCACCGCTGGCGATGTGTATGGTTTGCTGTCTATGACCCGCTGGGGCAGGGCAACTTCAGGATATTTAAAGACGTGTTGGACGGGAGAACAGTTTAAGATGGGGTGGGCCAAGAAGGAGTTGGTACTATCTGCAAGCATCGCATGTCAATTAGTACGATAGTTACCGGATACAAGACACGATTGGGCTGCATCGAGGCGCACTTTCGAACAAGGCGTCCAGAATTCGGCGACTCGGGAATGTAGACCCCAGGTGCCTTGTCTCAACGTGCACCATGGCATCAAACACGACAAGCGGGTTTCATCAGTCATGGCTGTCTGTCTGCCCATTCGAGGCCCATGCAGCCAGTCGCCGGCAGCTTCAAGTGCCTTGCCATCCCAAACCAAGATTGTCAGAAGCCCCTTTGCGCCCCCGCAGTAGCATCTTTTTTCCGAACTTATCAACTGGCGGTAAAGAAGGCTCACTGACTCTCAAGGTCCTTCGAGTTGCTGCGTTGCGCGCCCCCGTCTGGTCGGGCTCCTTGTGGCTAGTATGGCCAGGCTGTCGCTGGGCCCGTGGACACCGACGTAATAGCCAGTGGGTTGAGGCACTGAGGTGATGTCATTGTGTCCGCGGTTGCTGTGATTGAAATGAACGGTCAATCCGTCGCCGACTCCAGGAAAATGCGCCGCAATTTGATCGCGGCACCTGTCATGTGGTGGTTAGAGAACGAATGTCTTTTCGAAGTTGAGTGGAAACTACTAGGTTAAGTACTTAAGTAGGTAGGTACATATGTACCGAGTCAATCCGAAGCCTCCGGCGACACCAGCCTCAACTGTTTGAAATCCAGCGACGAACGGGTTTCAACCACCATCAATGCCCAGATATGCACGGGCCAACAAGCAGGTTCCGAGTACTTGGAACGCTGGCCCCCTAACAAAACGCCATGTCGCCACCCCCCACTTCCGCCACAATAATCCGCGTCCGCTTTGCCATCGTCAGCAATCATCGCCATCGCCATCGCCATCGTCACCAGAACAAGTTTCCTTGGAGACCTCGTCCATGGGCAGCATGTCGTGAGTGAGAATGGCGCGCAACATGTGCCCCTCGAGACATTCGCAACGTGTCCTGCCCGCCCCGCCAGCGCCCTCTTGAACGAACATGTCCAGCAACATCGTCGCAGAGTCGTGGACCTGGTACGCCCTGGTCTGGTTCGTCGTCGTCTGCCGAATGTAGGTTTGCGCCGCTGTCGACCCTTGAATCGGCTCATTTGAAAAAAATTCCCACGCATCTCATCTCACCTGCTGCGTCTAGCATCTCGCAAATCCTGCTTCGAGGATCGATTAAAAAGCTGAGACCCGACGATGGACTGATTCTCTTCGCCATGGTGCGTAACCCCCAACAGGCGGCCATCACAAGCGCATGGCGGAGCTGGACCTAACTTCTCTCCAGATGACCTACACGGTGTTGATTGTGAGCATCAACATTGTGTCCGACACGGCCAGCAATCTCATCGACCCAGAAGACCATGTTGTACTCACGCCCGAGAGCCTCAGGGAGCGGCGGTTTGGGTCCAAGATGGTCTTGATTGTCGAGCAGATGCAAATCAGCACTGTCTGGATAGTCAAGACGTGCCTGTTAATCATGTACTACCGCCTGACGTGAGTTCACTCCATATCTCACCATATTTCACAAACGCATAAGAATATGCCTTGTTGACCCGCCTTCAGACTGGGCCTCGCGCAAAATACCGCAGTCAAACTAGTCGCCGTCTACATTGCCATCGGCTGGATAGTCATGGAGATATTGTACTTTGGAGTGTGGTGTAGACCCTTCTCCGGGTATTGGGAAGTCCCTCCGTCCAACCGTGAGTGTTTTTTTACCCTCCCTACCTGGTTGGCGTGTGCGCTCAGCAATATTAACCGATCCGACTCAACCAGCTCAATGTGCAACAGCCCTGCATCACTTGATCACGAATGCCGTCTTCAACATCTCTTCTGATCTCATGATTATACTCATCCCAATACCGCTACTCCTGAGAACCCATTGGCCCCTTAAGAAGAAGCTCATTCTCTGTGTTGTGTTTGGCTTGGGAGGCTTTACAGTGAGTTGCACGAGCGATAGTCTTTGCAAAGCGCCTCAGACATTCTTTGTGCGCACTGCGCAACTAACCTGGGCTTCAGATTCTTTCCGCCGTTCTCAACAAATACTACAGCTTCACACAACCATATGGATCACAATGGACATTCTGGTACATTCGGGAATCGTCCACCGCAATCATCGTCGCCAACCTGCCTCTCACGTGGACGCTCATTCGCAGAGTCTTTAGTGTCGGCTCGTTCAGGGGCGGTAGTGGTCGAAGATCAAGCGCAGCAATGCGATCCACACAAACGGAGAATGAGCGCAAGCATGCGGCATATAATCCTCATTCCGCCGTGAGAGAGCCCAGCAGCAGCAATCAAAGTCAAGAAGTGGATGGTACATTATGACATGATATTTTAGTGCTTCTAGTAAAGCTTACCATATAGATTCTTAATGAATGTAGTATTTTCATCCAGAGCCATTGGCACTGTTGTCGGCTGCTGCTGCGTGAGATGTATCTGCAGATATGCAGCTTCAATGTTGGATCACTGCCAGCTAGCAGTTGCCGTAAGTAATAGCCGCTTCCTTCACCAAACGCAAACCGAATTTACGGAATTACATTGAATCATACTGCATCACGGTACCATCCACGGGGCCGCCACAGCCAAGAGGGATTTGGACTTCACCCTGTTAGCATGAGAGTCCTAGCTGGCCATGCCGAGTCGAACAGGGCCAGAATTACAGGTACCCGGTTCTATGGCTTGCCGTTCCGCTTGGTCCATGACGCCCAACAGCCCGTAGGAATTCTCAGGAGCATTTTCCAAGTTTGCAGTTGTAATTCAGCCCGCGAATCATTGGCAAATGCTGGAAGAAAAGACGAGTCATGACAGAGTGGTCTCATGATATGCCGATTGAGTTATATGAAATGCTACAAAGATATATGCCAGACTGCCGTAGCCATGAATTATTCAACACCACTTACATCCACCCACTATTAGGCGGCAACAAAGCCACCGCTCGCATGAGCGCTCAAAGGGAATGAAGATTGTTTCCTGCATTCATCCAGCCGTGCTAGCCTTGCCAACCAGCCAGATCAAGAACATCCATTGCGACAAGTAATCGATTCGATTGCTTACCCCATTATGGTTTTGGGTCTTGGCTCCAGGGAGGCGGTGGATCAGGACTTTCCATCTCCGCAATCTGGTGCATCTGTCCCCCTTGATTGTTGGGCGACAGCGTTCCAGGAGGTGGTGAAGGACTTTCGGCCGCCATTTCCTGCAGTTGCGGCAATTTTGACTGTTCCCATGTCGCCGCCGTACTGTCGGGGCTTCCAATTGTCGATACGGTGTATGAGTCGTGCGGCCCTCGACTGTAATAGCTATCGTGCGGGTGACTGTATGGCACCTGGCTAGAATAAGCAGGAGCAGGAGAGGCTGCTTGACTCATCTGGTTCTGAGCGGCAGCCGGCGTTTCTGCTGGCTTGTTTTGTTGTTGACGCCGAAAGTACAGCCACATGCCTACCGCCATCAGAATTACAACGGAGCCGCCAATCACGATGCCTGCAATAGCTCCTGCAGACAGGCGAGAGGAAGAATCGCCCGCAACTTCCCCGGATGAGGTTGCGGAAGAGTTTGGCGATGAGGACATTGTTGGAATTACTCCTGTCGCAGTGCCCGTTGGGGTAGAAGCCTTGAATCCATATGGTTCCAAGTTCTTATATGCCTCGCAATCTTTCTTGGGTACAGCCTCTGGGCAGGAGTCTGCATAGCACACCGAATTCAGCTGACCCTTATCGTCTGGCGGCGAACATTTATTGTTGTATTTCGTATTCATAGTTGCAGCTAATTGCTGAGCATCGGCGTCCGAAAAGTTATAGTATTTGCTGGCTAGCATGAGTTGGTCGATGAAATATGCCACTTCTGTCGAATTTAAATTCATAAATTTATGAACATAGGCCGGTGTGAATGGGGCATATTCCTTTGCCACAAACACGCTAGCATTACTGCACTGGTAGACTTTTCCAAAGGTAACATACCAGTGGGAAAACAAGATTCTAGTTTATCAAGCATTTGGTGAGTGGCCATTTAATGGCGAGATTATTTCCAGATGGCTAACGTGGAGACGTACTCTTGATTTGAGTCCGGTTCAATTTTAGCAAAGACCGTAGAGCCGTTTAAAAAGGCAAGGAGGGGGTCGAGACCACCTCCGTCCAACCAATTGATCGGTACTGGTTGGCCATGAAAGTTTGTAGTCGCCTCTATCACATTGTTAGCTCTCCAATATATGAGACGTTTGGCTTGGAATATGCCGAGCTGTTCCATACTTGATCCGTCAAACAAAGGACGGAGAAACACATCGTAACCATTGAACCTTCCCTTGTTAAAAATTCCGGTACTATTTGGATTTGGATCTGGCAGGGTATCTCCGCCAGCGTAGGCGTACGCAATAATACCCTGCATCAAACGAAGCTGTGTCGCGACATTACTTTCCCCAAAGACCTTTTCGGCATAGTAGTCGCAAATGGTTTGATTGTCTCGTCGGGAAGCGGCGACTGCTCTTCCGATGTATACGGCGTATAAGATGAGTAAAAGCTTAATGCACTTCGACAGCATTTCGAGGGAGTCCTTGGGATTTCACATGGGGATTGTTGAAGGGGAAGAAGCAAGTGGAGAGAAACAGCAGAAATTGGAAGGGAAGAGGGGGGAAGGCGGCTCATCAGGGAATCTCTCGTGGTACGAGACATATGAAAAGCGAAAACAATGGCTTGGCACAGAGAACGCTCGCCGAACCAACGAACTCGGGCAGTCAATCAGACCGCATGCAGGCCTCGCAGCTTGTCAACAGCCTTGTACGACGTTCAACTCGGGCAACCTGCAGTCCTGGTCCGCGGGGGACACACCCAATGATATGATGTACACTCACAGCCGCAATCGTATTCATGAACCATATACAGATCTGCGCACCGTGGTGCTTTCGTTGGTCCAAGTGCTTATGCACAGCAGTCCGCAGTGTTGAGACAGGCCTGGTTGCCGGTGTTGCCTTGCCATGAAATCCAGGGATTTGGGCATCAGTGAGTTGTGGGCCGGTGAGATGTACTTGCAACCAAGAGAAGTATTCGTATTGTGATACGTACTCCGTACAGCTATCGTGTTCCTGGGGCCCTCTCTCTTCTTCTCTTCTTCCTCTTGAGAAAGGTGAAAGGGGGTGGCGCCGGTTCGTCGCCTGCAAAGACCCGACGCCTTGGTCCAATCTGCAAACACTGACAGGGCCAATAGTTGCGTCAAGAACAATCGGGATTCTGTGCCAAAAACGAGACTCACTGCAAAGTTCTGGGACATCTTTGGAAGTGCCTTGGAAAGAATGGATGGGTTTTCACCCCACTGTCATGCCCGACGCAGGTCTGACGAGGCTTAAGACGGGGCCTGTCGTTGGCAACGCCATTTTTTGGCCGTTGCAAGATTCTCAATTTGCTTCGGAAGTGTGCTGTGTTACAAGAGCGTTTGCAGAATTGGGCCTCATCCCCCCGCCACGCTGCAGCATGGTTGAGAACGGCCAAGGTCGCAGACGGGATTGCCCGAGAGAGGACCAGGGCAACTTTGAAGGTTCCTGGCCGATGGCGATTTCCTTCCCAGAAACCAAAATGCGTTGATGCAGCTTTGGCGTAGCTCTTGCCTCTGGTAGCCCAGCACAAGCCACTCAGAGAGCCTACAGTCTCTAATCATTGCATCCAAATAGAATGCTGCAGCTTTCTTGAAGGCTCCAATCAAAATCATCGTCCATTGTTCGGTTAGAATAGCACTTTGATTTGACAGCAAAGTGGAGGTCAGAAAGTTGTTGCGTTGGTTGGCCCTCTTTGGCTTTGAGTGAGTGATCTGGCTATTCTCGCAATCTTAGAGAGCCCAATCACACTGGCCTTGCGGATAGTCGATGCCAAGGGGTGCCCAAAGTGCGTGCTTTGGTCAACCTCATGGCCCAGTCCTTTCTACTCGAAAAGTCAACAAGATCAGCCAACATGAGAGACCTAGGTGGCCATCGGATGGCAATACAAACAAACCACCCCTTCTCCAAAGTTGTACGAAGTCATAGTGCCGAACCAGGCTGTGAAAAATTAGACGGAAAGTTGTGTGCCAATATATCGTCTTGGCACCCTTCGTCACACAAACCGTTTCGTCTTCCACTCGTGGACATCGAACTGTATCAAACATGATGGCTACCCAATATGTGAGTCCTATAGTGTGTCTATCATCAGCCATCATTGAGATAATACCTCAGCCGACCTCATTGTCGCACGATACATAGCCGTGACCTATTACTTCAACGGCCTTTGTGCGCGTGGATTTTGCGAGCCGCACTCTCCGGGATGAGAGGTGGCCCTTCCAGGGAAATGAGCCTTCGAAGCTGCATACACATAATCGAGGACATGTCAAAACAAGCGTCGGGAGAAGCTAGCTCATAGCTAAAAATATCTTCCGATATAGCGTCGTCTTTGCTACCCCATGGCTTGTTTTGTATCACGCGGTGAAGTGTCTCGTTCTACCGGATGGTTTCCGGTGCCGCGCCATGGCGTATTGTTTTGTGCAAGTACTTGCTTCTTCCTGTGCGCCACTCTCCGTCTTAAAAATATGACAGGTGAGATAACTCAAGGTACATAATAGTACTTTGATTTTGCTGATTATCAGGTGGTTAAAAAGATATCTTTTAGTAGTGTTAAATATAAGCGACAAGCCCGCAGCCCCACACAACAGTGCGGGCGCTGTTGATGAACCCGTCGTGGTCAGCACCAAGCTCGGGAAAACGTCATCGAGGCCGCATAGCATATCCAAGGCGCTTCTCTATTCCGACCAAGCCGATTTTCCCCCTGGTTATGCCTAAGTAAAATTGGGATTCGCATTAGCCGCAAGATTGGACCTAGAGTGCCACACGACTTGCACTTCAGACTTGCGAATAGCTTCATAGAGGACATTTTGGAAGCAATACAATTTGATCAGGGTTGGCACACTTGAGAAGCAGAACGCTGACGTCACAGAGGCTGCCTACCAGAGGAAAGAGGAGATGGCTGGCACTCAAGCTTCATGAGCTCAGTGACGAAAAGGAACGGCTAGGCGAATAATGACACGTAGTGCCATGACTGCTCGCATGTTTATGCTCGTCATCATATTCGCGCATAACTGCCGCATCAGGCCACTTTTGTATATCTTCCCTGGCTTTTCAAGTACTCTGTGTATCGTGCGTTCCGTTCCGCTATTTGTTGAGCCTCTGAAGCAACTCTTGGGTCCTGAAATAGGTTGCTCTCGGCCTCCTCAAGCTCTCTGGCGTCTTTTCCTCTAGCAAAATAATTCTGAAAGACACGATTGAGGTCGGCAGGGCGTCTAATAATATGCGCAACGTGAAAAGAGGTACTCGATGGGTCGCGCCACTCTCGATTGAGCTGTTCGGGAAGTTTATCATCAAGGGCCAGGCCGACAGAAAACGATGAGAGGAATAACTTATCATAGTTGGTCCACGTATGGCCGGTGACCCATGCTGGCGGCGTGCAAAGCTGGCGAGGGACGACGCTTGCAAACTGCCAATCAATGAAGCCGACGATCCCCATTTCTTCATTGACTATAATATTGCTTGGTCGTAGATCTGGATGGCTAAGAACGAAGGGACCACTGTCGAATTCAGGTTTTATAACGCTACTGAAGTAAGGCTTCATGCTGCTGAGGCAAAACATATCATACCGAACCTCATCTTCCGGGTGATCATGTCGTGGCGCAAGTAGATATCTGGAAATGAGATGGAACTGGGACTCTACAAATGCCTTGGACGATGCAAAGCTTGGCATATCTCGACAAGCGTCGTTTGAAGATTGAGTGAGAAGGCCTCCAAGTATCGGCTGCGACGCCTTGTCGCATAGCATTAGAGACCCAATGGCAGGGAGCTCGAGAGACCAAAGTTCTGCCAAATAGCCGACCAGTTGGCGGAAGAATGTGGTCCTCATTGTACCGGTAGCGCGGAGTAGCTTTTTTGTGGCTAGAGGCGTCCCCGGAATGTAATCCAGAATGAGGAACATTTGCGTTGCCGTGGGACTTGCCGTCAACTTTTCCCCTTTCCCATATGCGTGGACTTGGGCCACCGGTATACTTGTCTTGATGCGAACGAGACCACAGAGAGAGTTAGCTACCCGTCTGCTAGTACATGGGGAGAACTCACTCTATAGTGGCCACTTCGCTGAGCAATGTTTCCCACGGCTTATAGAGAGCAGGTTCAATAGGAATTCTGACAACCCACTCCTCCTCCTCATCAAACTTGACAAAAAAGCAGACGTTGTAACTGCCTCTGGCTTGTCCCGTGATATCGCAACTTCTACCGCCGTTGTAGCGCGATGCCAAGGCCTTTATTTTTTCCGGAAGCAGCGACTCAACGAAGTTGTCACTGGCCTTTGCCACTTCATCGTCGGTCAATGCCAGATATTCGTCGTTTGGGGTCGTGCCGCCGGTTATAGTCGTGACAGGCTCCTGAGCAGTGTAGGCCGCACCGCCCAGAGAGAGCAGACATCGCCAAAGGCGAGATACCACCGCATCTATCCAGCATCGTAGACTTACCAAGAGCCTAAAGGAAGACATTGGTAGTTGCCGCACTTCGCGGGTCTCAAGGATTCAAGCTGTCCACAATGCTTCAATGCATCGCGTCAACGGCTCAGGGTTCTGATAGTATTTCGAGATCCAATTTCGTGAATCGCGACTGCCAATTCAGGGGTAGGCAAATTTGGCGTCATTTGTGGAGAATGCAAGGTCAAGGAACTAAAGTCGTTTCGCATCGCCAATCTGGATCACCGCAAACTCCGCAAGTCCATTCATTCTCTTGGGCAAAAAGTTTACCGTGCATACTTTACAATATTGACACTATGCGGGCACCTGTATTTTTTGTTTTCTTTTTTGAAAGAGTGTGGGGAAAGAGGAAACGAAATCTGAACAGAAATATTGGGCTTCCTGGCTAGCACAACGTTTTCACATCTTGGTGTTAATGCGAGAACAAGTGTGGGGACATCATGCTAACGCCAGCGTTCAAGCCAGAGTTTAGACCAATAAACATGGAGTGCTACTCCGTATTGAGTCCAGATACAGCTGACGAGTCGGTTGTGGCATCTCAAGCCTCCAAATTTCCAGAGTCAGGCTCAAAATTTCCTGTCGGGATACGCAAGCCAGGATACCCCTGTGGATCAGTTAAATTTGAGTCTGCGGTGATCCTGAGAGACATTGATGTATGTAGATGTTGTGATTGAGCGTGCCGCATGGCCATCCAGTGGGATTAAGCGCAGCATGCTCTGTTTATAATCGGGCCGGGAGGGTTAAATGCCGTCAGTTTGCCACAGGTGGGCTAAGTGCCGGGCTGCAATATTCCTGTGGTGCGAGTGTCGGCAAAAAAGGTCGATTGAGCCTTGTGCATGTGTCAAGAGTACAGGACATAAGATTACGTAGCATCTCATTCGTTCTACTCCGCACAACATCAGCACTGGCTTACCACCATAGCCACCTGGTGAGTTGGAAGCAGGGCCCGGGAGAGAAGCAACGATTGACGCCTGTTATTGGAGTTGTTCTGCCGCCTCAAACTGTTATTTGTGTGTCTTGGCTAAAGAGAAAGGCTCACGCCCATCCATTTCTCCGAACAACTAGCCTGGTGCCTGAGCGTCAAAGCCAATGTCGAGGTAGAAATTTCCTTGATGGCGTCGTGCCACACCTTTCAATGTTCCGGCGCTGGGGGCAAAGCAAGTGCAATCCAGGTTATTGTGGGGTTGGCAGCACCAGCTGGATAAACTGCGTGCTAAACGTCTGGTGTGTAACATCAGACGTCAACTGGTACTAGTACGTAGTAACTACAAACGAAGAGTTGTGTGAATCAGCTTCTTTCTCTTGGAGGGAAACACTGCAGAAATAGCACCACCATACTACAGGGTATCTGGGTACTTTTGTGCCATGATAGGCAAGTACTACAGGCTTATGGCATTCATCGTGTGACACCACCCTTCAGTTGATTTGCATCGCTCTGCCCATTTCGTCCAGAATTGCACCCCCGACTCTTGTTCACCAACTTTCTTCCTCTCGGCGGCCCCGGACACAGGGATGGACAAGTCTGGTCGCCTCAAGGAAACTGCACCGGCACTTGGAAAATCTACCGACAAATTGACCACGGCAAGAAATATATACCGCCCCGAAAGTACCAATAGCAGCTTTTTGCAAAATGAGACAATAGTCTAAGTAGGGCATTGGTGTATCTGTAGCAAAAAGTCTGATCGGCACCACTTTCATCATCCATATCATCTGTGCGCGTTGTCCATCTTTCAATATCGACGATGGAAGCATAGGCTTCTTTCAACCGACCTCCCTTCGACAGGTCACGCAGCTTTTTTTTTTTTTTTCTCATAATGGACAAAACACAGAGACTTGTCAGCCAGTTGCAACGCGGCATAGAAGCACACGCAGCCCTAGTACTCCGTTCGCGCGAAACGTCTGGTGGCTTGTTGCTTGCCGGCATGGCTTCGTTAGCCTCGACGAACTCAAAGACAGAACCAATGACAGTCAATCGGCTTCGATTACGGAGTACCGACCTTGATGGAGACAATGTCGGCAGGCGGATCCATGTGGGGTGGCCGACATCTAGATTCCGGGGTCCGGGGTAAATATTGCCAATCTAGATTCATTGACTAAAATCCCCAATCGGGGGGATCAAAGTCGTATACAAAGCACTTCAATTTCAAGAAGAATTTAAACGTCGTCAAAGGCTCAGAAATTATCGAGTTTGCTCTCCAAACGAAACAATCTTTCAAAATCGTACGCTTCACCAAAACGTGTTTCAACATGGAAATCCTCTATGCCCAACCTGTCGAGTCCTCTCTCACATGCGAGCCGTGCCAGGATCAGTCAACACCACCCACAAAAGCTGACACAAGATCGCACTCGTCAGAACGATTAAAGTATTGAATGACGCCGTTGCCCAAAATTCATACTACCCAGCTATAGCAGACTTTTTCGCCCAAGACGGCTATTAGCGAGACCACCTCGCTGTACGACCACATGCCATGCCTTGATTTCCCGCTCGATGGCCTCGCAAACCCGGGCTTCAAAGTGGTTCATGATCCCGACGGTGCAAGTCGTTTCTTTAAATGCTTCCTATGCGGAGGAGGCTACTATGTCAACGTCGGGGCATCTAAGCTGATTGCAGAAGACAAGATTAGGGTGAAGCAAGGACAGGAAATCGACCAGATATTACCACGTGGCATTCGGTTTAGTGATGGCTCAAAGCTGGAAGCTGACGAGGTTGTGTTTGCAACGGGCTATCAGAACATGCAGATACAGACGCGACGTTTGGCGATGTGTTGGGATTCAACGAAGAGGGCGAGGTGAGGACTATCTGGCAGAAGAGTGGGCATCCCGAGTTTTGCTTTAGCAGAGGAAATTTGGTTGTGCCGGTGTTCTTCGATACTTTCAGCATTGCATGCAAATCAAGGGTTTAGAGGGGTTGGTATCAGCTTGGTGACATCTAATCGGAGTTCGTCTTGGCTACATGTCTAGTTATGAGATGGCTACGGAGTATCGTTGTGTTCCTTGAGCCCTCTTTCCGCCTCTCTCTCTTCTAAATATACACTGGTGATTCGCGTGAGGATGTAATACTCATGATATACCAGAAGTGTCGGTCAAAATCATCAAAACAAGAGTATCGTCTAATATTTGCGTCTCCTTACCTCGCGCTAAGCCATCAGTATGATGCCGTTGTATGTACACAAATAGCGAAAGGGGCACCATGGGGTATCCATCATCATGTATCGTTCAAAACATTCCATGTATTCATATCATTCAACCATGAGAAGTCATCCACCGTGAATGTTAAGTCACGAATATCGAGTTCCGGAAATTGGGAAAACGATTGGTCTTGCTGAACTGCGGGTTGTATACCGCCGACGTGTGGAACGGAAGAATGCATCGGTGACACAGTGGTATCAAAATGGGCCGAGGAATCCGATGTAGAAGCACCACCATTTAGAATCTTCGACGATAAAATTTGAAGCGCTGCAACGCACCGTCGAGCCGATGTATTGACATGTTCGTGGGCCTGTAGCACCTTCATGGCTTCGCTCCAAGCCTGATTAATATCTTGCAAATTAATTATGTCTGTCCGCAACTTAGCAGCGATAAGGACGGTGGCAGCTGAAAAGAGATAATAGACTCGGTACCACCAGGCGGGAAGGAGTCCCACAGTTCCATCGTTGGCCTGGTACTTGAGGAGGAGAGAGATAATACTTCGCGCTATCTCCACACAATATATCGTGCATTGCTGCATTACGCGGGATTGCAGACTGTCTGGCGGTCGAGCAGCGGCGACTCCGAATCCAGGAGGTGGTAAGCAAACACGTGCAACGACAGGGCGGAGAAGAAGCATTCGAGCGTGAAGAAATCTATCACAATTAGTCAGTTGATTGAGGTGTTGTGGATATTCCAGACACGAATTCCGAGTGCATATGTACCGTATGTGCAGGATAACGGCCTGACGATGCGACACGTCATTGTTCGCCACATCAGCGTCGCCCAGTACTAAAAACTTGGGAAGGCTCTCTTCCCATTTCATCATGGCTGAGTCTAATTGCATGACCGAGGCAAGGTCCTCATCTTTCCTGTCATCGTGAATCGTAGAACGAGGCCGCGACCCGGGTTCGGAATATAAATCAAGAAGCACTCGGTGAGTAATTTCGTAGAGCTCTATAGACTTTACAAAAAATGAACCCTCCGTCAGACGCCCATAATCGTTTGGCTTGGCATTGGAGGAAGTCAGTGGGAGCGGAACAGCGGAGGCAAGGTTCCGTGATATCATGGCAGGGCGCCCATGAGTCAGTGATACCATACTAAAGCAAGTGTATAAGCATTCGTGAGTGTCAGGCGAAACCGGTCAAAGCTGCTTACCGGTCCATGAGTACGCAACCATGCCATATCCTCCGGAGCAGTTCACGCTGACTTGTGGTTGGCTGTAAAGCTGATGTCTCAGGTAGATGTAGGCCTAAGCTCTGGGCGACTCTCACAGCAGATCCCACAATCATCCATGTTTGATGCGGAAGATTTGTGCTTTGCAGATACTGGCTCATGAGAAGCAGGTACTGCACGAGCTCCAATGATCCCGAATCCCAAAATGTCAGGTCAAGAAGGTCTTTGGCACGTTTGAAATATACACCGCTTGTCTCGTCTCTGTTTTCGGGTTCCATGGACTCAACCAGCTGAGTAGCCAAGGCAAAAATAATGTTCAACGTGGCAACGAAAATGACTTCGTCAGTATCAATGGGTGTTCCAGCAAAAAGATTGGCATAGTTTTGCTCCCATTTGCGCCGGTCCAAAAACGGATACAGCGGATCAACGTAGAACCAATATACATTCATCAAATGATCCGCCTGTCGACGAGGCGGCAAGACCTCGTTGGCACTATTGTGCATGCCCGCTCGCCTAGGTGCATTGAGGTTTCCAACTCCGAGACTTAGACCAGAACGAGGGGGTTTCGGCTGGGCCTGGCCGAGGCGATTGGCAACAGCAGCCTTGATCTGGGAAGTAAAGGAGCCAGCACTGCTGCTTCCGAAAAACTCTCC